GGCGTGGTTGAGTAGTTATTTAGCAATATATCTGGGTTGCGCGAAAAAATATCGTATTGATGGTAATATCGTATTGAGCGTCGGCACTCGCCTGCGGCGAGTGTCAGCGCAGCTGACTTAGCTTAATAAGCTAAGCCTTGGCACGGATAGGTTACCGTAGTTTTGCGAGATGAGCAAGTCAGACTATTCGACGCCAAGCAGCTCAACTTCAGGCAACAGCCTCACGTGGTCCGTCGTTGTCGTCACCACCACTTTCTCGTCCCTTTTTGTAAAATGGGATGTGCTGAGGTGCTTCTTTGCGTTAAGAACGTCAATAGGTATATAATTTTTATTATTCGTTCTTTCTTTCAGGAAAGTAGCTTCAATTTGCCTTTGGCATTTCGTATCTTATACTTAACATATGCGCATCAACCCCAGGTGTGTACTTTCCTTTTTTGGCACTGGCTCGTGTCTACAGGCGATTAGGCAGACATGCGTGGGTTCGATTCGAATCGTAATATCCAGTCGCGCTTGTTATTCTTTGTCTTTTTCTTTTCTGGTACCTGTGTTGAAGTCTTTTTGCTCAAGAAGTTGTCTTTTCTCTTTGCCTCGAGAAGAAAAGGATGTGGTAGAGAAGGTAAAGAGTTGAGGTGGTCTGTTCACTTGGTCCCTTTTTCTCGTAAGCTGTACGTGTATTGACTTCTTAACATGTCCGTATATGCGTTTTCTTATAGTCAATGGGCGTTTTGCGACCACGCATACTCGTCTTGTAACATAATGATTACTTCGGAAACAACGAAGAAAGGATCTAATAAAACTCGTTAGCTACTACCAAATTCAATCGTTCATGCGGCAGAGTTGTTTGATACTCCCTTTCTCGGCCGTTTATAAAGAAAATTCCATTCGACCATGGGCGGCCAATAGTACGTGGTTTGGATAGAGTAAAACCTTAAGATGAGCAGAAAAGAATAGAAGCAGAATTGATCGACACGTGTGATAAATACTAAAACAGAAATAGCATTACTCCCGACTATCCTAAATTGATAGCCTACAATTATTTTTAAGATATAGGTTATATACCTAGGATCCCTTCGCAACAACCCCCAGAGGCTGCAAGCAAACGACACTCCACAATGTATATCGGCTAAATGCCGGTTAACGGGAGTCATTGGTATACAAATACAGCTCAATACCGCGCGCGTTATACAATACTATTGGCTTTTGGGTGTTCGAGATAGAGGCAAAGCTTGGACAGCCGCCATCATGCCTCCCATCTCGCACATTACCGACAACCAGGTTTGCTCCATCTGCGGGTCCATTATTTTACTTTTCTCGTTTTTACCTCCCGTTATGCATCGCGCCTGCATGTGCTTGACCCGACATACTTACATGGAAAAACTGCGGTCGACGCTAGGAATAGTAGCAAGCCACTACCGCATGCATGTCGATCTTCCAACTCTATTCCTCACACTGCAAATCCTCATACTAGCCGAGTCTCGGCCGAGGAGCCGCGCTGTGCGCTGTTGCGCGACGAGAAAGAAGAGAAGAAGAAAAGAAAAAAAAAGCTGGGCAGTACTAACGTCGGGCAATGTGTCACGAGCCGCAGGGCTACGACAGGGAGCGGAGGAATGACGAAATCCTTGTGCAACTCACACCGTACTCATTTTACTTCTGCAAGGCTGAGCTAATGCCACGGCAGTTGTATCGATGGAAGGAAGCAAAAATGTGGAGGGTCCAGTGACGAGTCAGCAATGGGTTACTACTGTGTCTGGTTAAAGCTACTCGTCATACAGACATGCGCATTGATCTGAGGTTGACATGAGGTGTAATGGAAGGAAGCTTGGCGCCCTGTTTCGGGTTGCACGTAGGGCTGATAAATGGGGGGATACGAAGATGATCAAACTCCCGGTAAGGGGGGTAAGGGGATGTGACAGCCACTGCCGGGCTGATGGTTAGCGCTTCCGGAACGTCAACCTTGAGATTCGGGTCGGCTCAGATTGCTGTCAGCAAGTTTCTCCCATATGCAATCAAAGATGATTGAACGGCAGAGCGAAGAGTCGCTGGTAACATCGAATAGTTATGTACATAGTATGTAGTAAGTAGTATGTAGGTTGGTGAGACCAAGAGATGCCACGAGCCCTGGTCGACATGGCCACACCGCATCTGTTACAGGCATGTTACAGAAGAAGGAAGAAGTCACAGGAGCAAAGAAGACAGACTTTGAACTGGCGATGCAACCTAACCACTGTCACTCAACAACATGAACTCTCTAAGGGTCTTTTTTGCTCTAAGCGGCGCATGCGCCGCTGCTACTACGTCGCACATCCACGGGCCATCATCACCACAATGTGCCAACCTACCGCCGCACTTTGCAGCACAGATGCAGACCCCACTCCGGTCCCAGCAATGTCTACATGGAGATACCGACGCCAAACCGCCACCCGTCATACCGTCATTTCAACACCCGATATGGTCTCACGAACCGATGTGCGTCACAGGGAAAGAGAAGGTTTACTGCACACACACAACGTCAGACTCGGGTAGCGGCCATGGTCTGAGCATCATCGCGACACCATCTGCTGCGGGGAAATTATCAGCAAAGTTTAGCAAGCAGAAGAAGAGAGTCAAGTATTCCGAAGATGGCCTCCAAGTACGGTCTATCCCGGGCAAAGGCAAAGGTCTCTTTACGACAAAAGTCATCAAGAAGGGGGAGACGATTCTGCTTGATCCAGCACGTATAATTGCCAGTTCTCACTTTCCAGCGCGCGTATCGCACGCCCAAGGCCGGAGTTTATTCAACTCGGCGCTCGATAGACTTCCGGAAAAAGATCACAAGATGGTTGCGGCATTAGATCAGAGTCTGGGTGGAAGTCCAATCGAGGACGTTATGAAGACCAACTCTTTTGCTTGCCGGCTAGACGATGGCAACGTGGACAAAGCCTACATTTGTCTCTTCCCATCCGTCTCCCGCATCAACCACGCTTGCCAGCCGAATGCCCTCGCACGCTTCGTCTCAAAGACACTATCGATGCAAGTCAAGGCGAAGCAAGACATTGCCGCAGGAGAAGAAATAAACATCTCGTACGGAAGGGTAGACTTGACGCGCGAAGAACGACAGGAACTGTACAAGGATGGATGGAACTTTGAGTGTACATGCTCGCTCTGTACGGCGCCGCACGGCGAAACAAAGGCAAGCGACGATCGGCGCGTAAAGTTTGCAAGGCTCAAGCAGAAGCTTCAGAATCTGACAGCGGAGACTTACGACGCGAAACAAGTAGTGGAATGGGAGAAGGAAGTCATGGCGATTGCGCAGTCCGAAGGCTTGGAGGTGTTGCTGGCCGAGGATTACGAGAGACTGGCATATGTGTATGCAGGCCATGGAATGGCTAGCGAGGCACGGCGTTGGGCGGAGATGGCCAAGCAGAACTTGCTCGATTGGGCGGTTGAGGACAGTCGTCGAGATGACAATGTCAGGAGATTGGATGAAACGCTCGCAGAGTTGGGTTGAAGTTTCATGGCTGAACTACTACTACTACTTTGGTGCCTGGCCATTGCTCCGACTTTCCTAATGAGGTCCTCTCCACTTTGGCAAGTAAGGCTGCCTCGGATTGTCATCCGCATCTTGTAAAGTTTGAGCCCATAATCTGATGTCTGCAGCATGGGTTTCATCTGTAGTCATGCCGTAATAGGGCGCTAATGGACCTCGGAAGATGGCTTGCGCTTCCGGGCGTTGGTAGGATGTGAATGGGGAATGGATCGAGTCAGCCCGACGGATGCGTCCACGGCAGATGGGCGCTGCAAACCTGTCTCTCTTGAAAGCGTTAGGACGATGCTGTTCACTTTCAAATCGGTTTCCCTCGGGCACCAGCTGACGGTGCCAGTCTGCCAAGTGAGCAGCAGGTACGCGTTCACGCATGGGTCGAAGAGGGCTTGGAGCGTCTTCCTTAAACGGGACAAGGACCCTGCGCGGGGTTGTGGAAAAAGGAGGTCAGAGCATCTGTTGTAACTAGGTAACCAAGTCTAGAAACGATTAGAATGCGACAAAAAAGTAGCAAGGCCAAATCTCCACGTAGATCAGTGACGTATAGGAGCTCGTGGCTTGGTTGGATCTTGATCAAGGGGGGTCCCGGCTCTTCAATTCCCGGGTACAGGCGAGTTGAGATCTGACCGACGATCTTCATAAGCAGAGGGAAAATACGCCAGAGAAACGAGGCTGGGAAGCCACAGCCGCAGGGCTATCACAGATGCGATGAGATTGTCCTCAAAAACGGGTTGAAAGCAGCTGTAATGGGCTTGGCTGGTAGCCAACTTGGAGTGTGCTGAACTAGCAGCAAGCCATGCGGCTGGCCGTTGTCTCTAGCCAGCGAACAAAGAAAAAAAATGACAGGACAGTTGGCCGGTAGTACCGTTGACAACGGCGATGAGTCGCATCGCAGCGTGCAGAAAATAGACATGTTGAAGGAGTGTATGCGCGGATGTAGAAGGGAGCTGCAAAGGACCGTCTCTACGCACGTATGGCTGATGCCCAGTCTGCGTCTTGGCCTATCATCTGCTCTTCACCTTACCATGATTGTCCCTGCATGTCAAACTTTCCCCCCGAACCCCCTAGGCGCATTTCTCTCTTGGCCATCCATTCGCCGCGTGGTTCTCACTCGTCTTGACGACCTTCTCTTTGTGGCCGGGGCCAAGCAAAAAAAAGCGATTTCAAACACCCTGCCTGGCACACGTTAAAGCAAGTCAAAACATGGGGGCGGAAGGAAACTCGCGCTCGTGCTCTGCAGCGTAAAATGAGCCACACAGTGGCGCCCGGACGACCCGTTGCCTTTGCTTTTGTCGCTCCTTTGGCTACTAAAGTCTTCTGGACTCGAGGCGCTACGCCTGGACGCGGGCGGCCGGTTCGCTGCGTTACCCCAGCCGAGTCGTACCTACTTACGCTTGCGGAACCACAGCGAAGAGGTTTTGCCCACCTTGTTTCATGGCGCGACTGGGTATACCCTGCTATTTTGGTCAGCTCAGCCTGTGCACGTAGGTAGAGTTGACAGGGCTCCGTCGCATAATACTGCAGAGTAGGGATCACACACTAAATATGGCCCTGCAATCCTGCCCGTCCCACAACCATATGTATATGCGGTGGTCAAACACCTAAACTGTCTGTATATCTCCGTAGTCTCTCAACATCACCAGTTCACTCTTTTACTTTTTGGCTAGTAGCCGTGACCTTCTTTCCTACTGGTCTGTTTGCTTTCATAGTCTCTCCTTTACTTTCTTTTTTTTCGTTTAGTCTTTTGTCTAATATGGTCGGGTGCCGATCTATTCTAACGGTCCTTGTGACTTTGGCGGCCGTTGTAAAAAGCCAGCAATGCTATGGCGTCGACGGTTCGCTGCTCGATAAATCATACACACCATGCAACCCTAGCGCAAAGGTGAGCGGTTGCTGCGCGAGCGGCGATATTTGTCTGAGCAATGGACTGTGCATGGGAACTCAAGGAGCCTCAATTGGCGTCATCTTTTCAAGAGGCTGCACAGATTCCACTGGAAAGGATGTAGCATGCCCACAGCAATGCTCGGGTGGTATGTCTTCACAAAAAAAAACAAATTTAACGATACAAGCAATCCTAACAAGTTGACAGGTTCCAGCAACTCAAACAGCGCATCCACAGTCACTGCATGGCAACTCCAAACCTGCGACTCTGGTGAATACTGCTGCCGCGCAGCCAACTCCACCAAAAGCTGCTGCAACAACCCCACAGCACCCCAAGTCACATCACCTCTCAGCGCCACCCTCCAGATGCCAGCAGCCCCAGCCTCAACACCAGCAACCAACAGCCCCGACCAAGAACCCGCATCTTCCACCCCTATGCCTACACTACCAACCATCTCCAACTGCCAGCACGAAAAGACCCACACAGCTATTGTCGGCGCCATCCTCGGAGGCCTGCTTGGCGGCATCATACTCGGCCTTGTCATTGCCGTGCGATGGATGTACAAGCGTGAGCGCCGTCAGCGCCGCCTCAAAGAACACTACGAGACGCAAATGTCAAAGACGAATGCCTACCGCAAGGCCCTCGAGGAGACCGTCAGCTCAGCGAGACCCAGTCTCTCCCTCGAACAAGTCGCGTCAAAGTCCTAGTAATACAACGGACTAGATTTGGGACGACGACGACGACGACGGCGACGACGACAGCCCCAGCCACGGGCTTTGCTACCACTACTCTTATATATGTACAACTCGACATTTTCCTTTGTTTTTTGTTTTTCTTTACAACTTCTATTCTTTAATTGTTGTTATTACAAAACCTTGTTTGTTTTCTTTACTCTCTTTTCTTTTCTCATATTAGCGTCGGTGTTTTTCCTGGATTGGATGGCTTGGGTTAGAAGGCTTGGGTATGACATGGCGTGGACGAAAGCAAACGACCGGACAGACAGTATCTGGTATGTGTGTGTGTGGTGGTATTTGGTTTCGGTCCGGCATCGGCTCGGGATAGTAATCCCGACTATTCCATTTCCCTCCCCCCCTCCCCTATGTTCTTTTCCGCATTCGTTTATTTCCCTTTTTTGTTTACTTCTAGATCCCACGATTCGCTTCGTCAGCGACATTTTGTTCGATATCCCCCCCTTTCTGGTTTCCCTTCTCGGTCTGTTGAAACAAACACAGTACTCGACCCTTATGTTTCCTTGATGTATCTCATGTCGTTTTGCCCCCCCCCCCCTTTTTTTTTTATGTTAGATTCAAGACTGCTACACAGCAACTTCCCAAACTATACATTGCAGATATGTTATTCGAACCCAAAAGAAGAAAAATCAAAGTATTCATCAATCACACAAACAAAAGAATCCTTGTCATGTCAGAATGCAACTGTGATTTGTAATAGCGCCGTCGCTGTAGGGACAAGGTCAGCAGAGAGTAAATTAATAGTAACCATCGTCCAAAGAAGAAGCTAGCTCGGGATCGGGAATCATCCGTATATTTCCGTAAGCAAAGGGCAGTTGTAGGCCCCTCTGACTTTGCAGCATCTTACATACATACGTTGAGTAGTCTGCTTACATGCCAAGTACCCGTCGTGTGATATGTACCTCGTGAGCAAGATATAAGATCAAAATATCCGACAGCGCTAAAGGCAATGGAGACCCCCGTGGTGGGTGATAACGAACCAATCCTGCAATCGAAGGGGAGATAAAGTCCCTTTTAGGAAGCTATTCGCGGGCGTAAATGATTGTGATCCAGCGTACTTGGGAAGTTATTGAACACGTTCAGAACAAAGGCAGTAATGACAAGATGCAAAAGATTCTAAAGACAATTTTTCATTTGCTATCCTCATACCCGACAAGTAGCTCTTCGTTAGAGTAGATCCCAACCCAGCAGTGACCTGATACCAATTGATATTTACATTTTCAAATATCCAGTCCTAGATTGCGGCACCTATCGACGTCGCCTTCCCCCCCCCCAGGCGTGTCAAAATTGCATGTGAGCACGTTGAAAACGCAAGGCGCTTTCGGGTCGGTCGGAAAACCCTTCTCAAATGGGTTGACCAACTGCTGCTCATTGTTCGCAACAAAGCAGTCAGTTGGGCCTTTAAGAATTTCCTCCTTAGTAGAGCCATATTTTGATATCAAAATCTCGGCGAGATCATCCTTGTTCAACGAGTTCTCACGCTTGCCCGCTTGTGTCAAAATGCGTGATGTGAAAGAGCCATCTCCTTTGTTTACGCACAGCCTTGAAATTGTCTCTTTGCAGCCTGTAGACTTGCGGGAATGGGATATGTAGATATTCTGCGCTTGTAGGGCGAGGCCAATTGCATGGCGGGTGATTGACTCAGTGACGATAGTCTGGAGATCGCTTTGTGTGAAGTTTTCGCTCACACCTAGAAATCCACCCCCCTTAATAAGTTCATCTGCACATATGAGTGACTGTATTCCATACTAATTTATGTACGAGAACTTACTGATTCCGTCCGTCGGATCATCAACCACTGCGTTGAGAGATCTGTCCAAGGAATCTGAAATGAAGCGTTGGAAATCGCTCAGGACATCGCTCATTGTTTGCCCGAGATTGGTCCACGCAACGAACCTATCTGGTGGGGTAGGTGGTGTAGCACGCCTCAAGGCAAATCCCAGCCCTCCGTTGACAGCAGTTACAGTTGAAGCAACAGCACCAGTGAACGAAATTACGTCCAGGACACTGCTGACCATGGACCCAATGTTCTTCAAAGGCGTGATGTCATCTTTAGGATCTGGATATACATCTGCAACAACCTCTCCCAATTTCAAAGAGATAATTGACGAGGCAAATGTAACAGCGGTATTGAGGCTGTTCATATAATTGTTATAGTTCTGAATAGCCAGCGCAGCACACCTGCAAAGCACTAGTTAGTTCCGTATCTTGCGTGACCTTTCATAAATCTCCCTTCAACGAAAAAAAACAAACAAACTTACCAAGCAGGTGGTTGAATGGGCAAGCATGGTTGGCCAGCATTGCAGAACTTGTCGAGACCACAGAAGAAATTAGGAGCACCGAAGGAAGCGGCTAGCGATTGAACATTGTTACTCGTCGTCCTGGTGTAGTTCTTTGCAGCTGCCGCGAACATAAATCGATTATTTTAAGGTCCGTCCATGTTTTTGGCTTCAATGCAGAAACGCGACATGAATCTGCGCCATTTCCTACGCCTTGCGGTGAGGCCACTGGAGAAGCAAAGGCTACGCTGGAGAAGTACACCAGAATACTATTTTTTTTTAGATGCACGGTTTCGGTAAAATCAGCCGAAGTCTTTGAATTGATACAAAAGAATTGTAAAAGAATGTAGATGGTTATCTGAATGAATGGACGGTGCTCGATGGCGTGGTGCCGTTTCTTTTTGGGTATCCTCTAGAGTATATATACAATATTCGATCACCATACCTTAGAATTATGTAAAGACTCGCTACTGTTAGCTGATGACGCATGTTGTCAACCCCAGAGAGTAGGGATACCTGTAACTGCGGGACAGCTATGCTCCCTAAGAATGACCGAAAGCGTTTTAGCAGGTATACGAGACAAGAACGTCAAAGTTACTATTTTTGTATCGCATTAAATTCAAACCATAGTTTCCAAGGCCCATCGAACCGTATTGTGAATCTCGAGATCGCACTCCAAGTTACTGGTTATAGTAGTGAAACATCGACGTAGTGGCGTGAACGGTTGGCACTCTCATGCGGTAGCCTTTACCTGCCGGCTTGGCCGAGATGAAAGGACGCACATGCCTGGAGTTCCCTCGGAGTGTTATTCTTGGCCCGAGTCTCTTTGTCCGGAGAGAAGTAGAGCTTCATAGTTTCTACGCATGTAAGTACTCGAGATCTAGATCATATACCTGAATTTAGCTACGGGCATAGCTACAGGCATAGAAGAGCATTACATCTATTCTGCGGCGGCAGAATACATATTTACTTTAGGCGTATTACAATCAACGTGTTTTGCTAGTGTGTTGGCCACTCTACTGTACTCGCTATCTTGACCGTTCTTGGAAGGTTTTTGGTTTATCAGTGAGATCGGAACCTCAGAGCTACCTTTACTACGAAATATCAGCATCACCACAGTATTAATTCAAATGAAAATATAAGCGGTTATATAGAGTACGACCATATCTACTTCAATAAAGCGTATATTGAGTAAAATATCACTAGTGATATTTTAGCATCAATTAAGACTCCAAGCGGGCTTTACTGTAGACGTTCGGTGCTGGACGATCTTATCTCTCACTTCACTGGTTGTCTGAGAGAAAGGAAATCCCTTCATTTTTTACTACAATGCCTTTCCAGGGAATGAACAAAGGATTGACTTCTACACTAAGCAATACAACATGATACCACCCACGCATGCACGTTGTGCCTTCAACGCTCCACCTCTCCCAACTTACCCATGAGCAACGCATCCACTCTCTCTCCCTTATTCAGACTTCCCTCCCCCTTTGGCATACATAACAGAGCGTTTGCGCCCTTGAAGCTGCCAATGCGACTGCTCCTCTGACCTCCTGTGGAACTCGCATACAAAAGCCCATCTTCCTTGGTCACCACAAGCGCACGATGATACTCAGGCCTTCCTCTATCCATCTTGATATCCTCTTCCAGTACCACTTTGACGCGCGGTAGCCCCACGGGCTTAATGCCCGCCTGTTGGTGCAGCGCCGGCAGAACGAAAAGATGGAAGCAGACGACTGCTGAAGCAGGGTTACCAGGCAAAGAAAAGATGGCTTTGTTGACAGGGTTGCCGTCGTTATCTTTTACAGGGACTGTCGCAAAGGTGGTTGGTTTACCGGGCTTCATATTTACTCGGCCAAAATGAATGGTGCCGCCGAGGGTGCGCTCAATGGTGGGCTTGAGTAGGTCGAGTTCACCCATAGAAACGCCGCCCGAGGTAATGATTACGTCGCATCTGCGCATCGCATCACGAAGTGTCTGCTCCAGGGTACCTGGTCTAATAAAGAAAACCCTGTTAGCTTTAATGAAGCAGAGATCGGATGGAGGGGATGAGAACATGTAAGAAACATACTTGTCAGAGACAATGCCGAGATCGATGACCTCAAATCTGTGGCTACGGGCGGCAGTAATCAGTGTAGGGCGGTTCGTATCACGGACTTCTCCTAGTCGGAGCGGGCCTTCCCTCTCGTGTGGGATGATTTCATCTCCCGTGCTTAGAACACCAACAACTGGCCTTCTGTAAACCGATACTTCCCGTGTACCAACAGAGGCAAGAAGTCCAAATTCCCCACCCACGACTGTGACGCCCTCTCCCTTTCTCATGATGGTCTCGCCCTCTTTCACATCACTACCCACCTCGCGTACGTTCTCACCAGCCTTAATCTCATCTGTAAGAATCTCAATTTCCTTTTCCTCTTGGCCGTCATCAGTCAAAGTCTTGAGTGCGGTATCTTCCACCATGATGACAGCATCGGCACCAGGTGGAAGCGGCGCGCCCGTAGTGATCCTTGCAATTTCACCCTCTTTGAGTTCTTTGACCTCACCAGGTTGGGCGTGTGAGATAATCGAGACTGGGTATACGCCCTTCTCGAACTTGCCTGAAGACGGAATCTTGATAGCGTAACCATCGACGATGCTGGCTCGGAAAGCTGGAACAGATTCAGCCGCCTTAACGTCCTCGGCAAGAACGGAGCCGCCTATCTTCATGTTTACAGGGACTTTCTCTACAATAGGAGCTGGCGTCTTCTCTGCAATGAGTTTCAAGGCCGCGTCGACAGCCAACATGGGATATGGCGAGGATCGATATCTCTTCGTTGGTCCTGCTGAAGGATCATTTGATTGCGGATGCTCTGCTGGCTTTGTATGAGCCTTTGGCCCCGCATGACTACCATGTCCGTGATGGTGATGTCCACATCCACCTCCGGTTCCTATAATAGTCCATTATTACCAACAAAACTTCTTGGAAGTCACGAACGAAATTTGACATACCAGCAGAAGGAGCACTCCCTGATGAGACACCTGCATCTTTCTCAAGTTTCTTCACACCACCAGCGTGGAGCGGCCGTGACTCTGCACCAGCTGCTTGAAGGCATGCATGTGGTAGCAGCTTGAGCACCGCTTCTAGATTCTCTTTGGCGCCTTTTGGTGACCCAGGCAAGGTCATAATCAAAGTTCGTTTTCGAACTCCAGCAACAGGCCGTGCCATCAGGGCAACTACGAATCGTTAGCATAAATCTTGGTCAGAATATGACATTACGGACAAGGTGTGACTGCATACGAGGTCGTAAGCATGCCATGGCTAAAAAAAAGTGTTAGTCAACAGCCAGACTATCCTCAAACAACTCTACGCACATAAGACCTGGAGCATGTCTGTCAATCAATGGAGTAACTGCCTTTGACTGATCAGTTCTTCGACTTCAGGATGATTTACAATGATGCACATACCTCTGGAGTGACATCTTTCGTAGCAAACCCAGTCCCCCCACTTGTAACGATCAAGTTCACAGGCTCTGGCCCATCAGTCCAAGTCTTGATAGCCTTCTGGATTGCAAGAGCATTGTCAGGTACGATTTCGGTTTCGCTAACGTCCCATTGGTTGTTCCCGAGATCGCCGAAGACTTGGTTTAAAGTAGGTATGCATTTATCAGTTGTAGGATCTTGCGAGGCTGTCTCGGAGACGACCAAAATCGCTGCTCTCAACTTGGAATTCGTAGTAGCCATTTTATGAGGTGGTAATGTCGAGTCTAAATGAAGTGGAGCTTGTGTGACATCCCACGTTCCCTAACCCAGTGCACGGACCACCGACAGTATGTCGAAGGATTACTCAGACGTCAGCTTCACGTGTGCAGGAGTGTTTGGATATATTTTCTTTAAAAAAACTGGTATTTAACGCCGGTGATTGCTCATAGTACACATGCATTATACAAGCGCCCTCCCCATGTGCATCGTACAAACTTCTACAACAGTAACTTTCTGTAACGTCCAAGCCAGCTTCCTGTGCTGACATCTGTAGCATTTGTTTGCTCGTCGCCTTCAAGCATGATCAAAGATCGACCTGGTGGGTTTTTCCGAAATTTTGCGCAAGCCAATAAAGTCCCTGTAAGCTCACTCAAAGTCCTTTGCGTTGCTTTGCATCAACAATCCAATGATAAGTCCAAACAGTCCGAGAATAGCGGCAAAGATTTCGATAGTGAGAATCTTGACGAACCTAATCGAAAGTTAGCGAGCAGCTGGAGTCTGCAGATGTGGGTGACTTGCAGTGCAGGGTCGGCAGCATCAGCCAGAGCAGCACTGCTTCCGTTGATGCCAACGCAGACACCGCAGATCAGGTTGCACATGCCGACGGTAAGTCCGGCCCAGAAGAGGGCGTATCCGGTGAAGTAGTTTGATCCAGAGTAGAGCAGCTCGGGGTCGGTAAGCTGGGTCATCTTGGAGGAGAAGATGATGGCCATGATGACGCCGTAGATGGCAACGACTTCACAGAAGATGATAGAGATCAAGTTCTTAGTTCGTATCCGGGGTGCCTTGACACCTCCGCCGACGATGGACACGCCAGTTGTCCAGATTCCCCTTTGCGACTGTCAGATGCGAATTGTATATGGATGTGTTTGCTGCGCGGAGACGTACCATGCGGATCCTACTACGGAGAGGCCGATGCACAGCGCGATTCCAAGACTAGCCCAGGTGTACGGTGATACGGTTTCGAGGAAAGCTCCGACCTGATGCGCAATTAGCCATACATGTAAGTGATAGTAGCGCAGCGCGTTCTCACGTTGAAAGCCTCTCCTTCGCCGTGGAAGAGCATGTCTGGTTGTAGTTAGCTATGCCGTCGCCGTCGCCCCTGCGCGCTGCACGTACACAAGGCAACCACACCGAGGGCGGCCGTGGCGCCGCCCGTTCCGTAAGTGAGAGACATGTTGGATGTAAAGTGGTCGTAGAGGCGGAGATGGATGCTGGAGGGGGCTGCTTGGAGCTTCGTCGTGATGGACGGGCTCTGAAGCTGGCGATGATGCAGGCGGAACAAGCCGCGGCGCGCTAGCTCCACCGGCTTAGTAACCTCCGCTCCGCGCTCCCCAACCCTCCTCGCACCCAAACGTCACCATCCCCAGAACACCAGTCCGTCGCAAACATCAGCACCATGACCACCGACAACACAAAATACTATGAACTCTACCGCCGAAGCAGGTATGTGTTGCGACCGCAGAGACGCCATGCCGACCGCATTAGCTAACACGCTGCAGCCTGGGCGGCTCTCTCACAGACACGCTGGATCACCTCATTACTGAGCGCCGAATAGAGCCCCAACTCGCCATGAAGATTCTCGCCAACTTTGACCGGGCCGTGGCCGATGTGCTTTCCGAGAAGGTCAAGGCACGGTTGACATTCAAGGTCGGTTGCGCCTGGACACAAAGCCGAGTCTCGTTATACTGACTTGGGTCGCCTTAGGGACATCTCGACACATACCGCTTCTGCGACGACGTCTGGACCTTCATTATCAAGGATATTAACTTCAAGCTCGATAATACCCACCAGATCCACGCCGACCGCGTTAAAATCGTCAGTTGTAATGCGAAACGCCCTGGCGAAGCATAGAGAACCTCATCCGCACGTTGATAGAGTCAAGGATACTCAGATATATACCAGAGTGCTACAAAAATGGCTGCAGTTGAAAACACACAGGACCCTGGGAATGCGGCGTCACCTAAACCCCAAGTGTCTGCTCATAGGGTTGATCCTCTGGCACATTTTTAATCGGAGTCATGATTTGGACAGGGAAAAACCACGATACCTCTGGCATAACGGGAGTTTGGAGTTTGGCATTTGCAAATGGCGTCTGGATCAACGCCCTCAGAATGGAACAAGCATGAAGCATGCGCATATTATATATACCATCCTTCACTTTCCTTTATTGAATGCATCATGACCCAGAGTGACTTTGCTATGAGATAGCCTGTACTCATTCGTTCACTCATCATTGTAGATGCGCGTCCCTTTGTGTGTGTGTGTGTGTGTGTGTGCACAAGCTTCATGACCAGAATCATGTGAAGCTAACCGTTGCGCGCAGCTACCCCATGTCTTCCAACTAGGCTCGGTAACGTAGCGCATCCGTACTTTGCAGATCGCCAACCCTATCGTGATACCAATTAACCCTGCTGTCAACTTCAACATTGCCTTGAGTCTCACCCCCACTCCCGCTATAGCAAAAAAAAGGGCTGCCATGTCTGTTCCGAAAACAAGATCAGCGTGGCTGGCACTTGCCATCTCCAGTGGTGCATGTGCAGCCTTCAACGGCGTGTTTGCGAAGCTGTACAACACCCCCCGCGTCGCCGTTATCCATATTGCATACTAACCAGGCTGCAGTACAACGACAACCCTTACAGCTTCATGGTCGAGCTCTATAGCCGTAGCTTTCGGCCTTAGTGCTTCCAATAAAGTCGTCGAGTATGCGATTCGAGGGGTCCGTCTCTACCCGCGCCTACGTCTCAGATAAATCCATCTCACTTGTCTAACGCCACGAGCAGCTCTTCTTCGGCATGAACCTCCTTTTCAACGCCATAATGTGGGGTCTTTTCACACGTGCTCTTACTCTCGCCTCCTCGACCGTACGGGTTAGCATTATCAACACGTCTGCAAATTTCATCGTCACCGCTATCCTTAGTTTCATCATCTTCAGCGAGAGTCTCCCCGCGTTGTGGTGGCTCGGGGCAGCAATGCTCGTAGCTGGGAGTGTGATTATTGGAATGAGAGAAGAGACGGAAAAGCAAGGCGTCATGGCTACGACCGGTGAAGCTCCGCTCCTCGATCGTGATGGTGATGCCAACACCGAAGGATTCAGAGACGACGACGAAGACCAGGACCATGTAGAACTGAACAGTGTCAATAATGAAGAGGAGAGCAGTGATGAAGATGGTGTATTAAAATAGATAGGTAGGCACATCACCATCCCAATGCATAAGCATCATTAGGGGCCTTTTTATTGGAGGTTGGTGATTTCAACGGTACGACTCCTCCCACAATCCATGAGAAGCTGCAGTCCATCAGCTAGATCGTTCCCTTATAAGCTTGCACTCCTTTCCTTAAAGTCAGAACAGACCGTTTTAGTACCTACGTACCTTTTACACAACAGTTCCACACTGCATTTCCGCAAGACTAGGATACAGCGACCAGCGCCCTACAGACCACTCCTGTACTTGTGTCTTTCTGCGAGATCAGCGTACGTGGCCAACCCATCAGCCTTAAAAGCAGAAAATGGCGCACGATAACCCATCCATCGCGCTCAGCCCTAATGCTCCCGTGTTCTCTCCAAGCTCTGGTCCCTCACAGCAGGCCTTTAATCAACATCAATTGGTTTTTCAGATGGTTCCGCAACCGTATATATATAGAGGCACATGGTACTATACTGTCCCGCCGCAGATACTACCGCGACCACCATCTCTACAACAATCATCTCAACAACCACCATCTCAGCCACCTCTATCACAACCACTGCCATCACATCCTCTACCACCGCAGCCACCATCGCAAGCCTATAATGGTCACAGTAGTAGCAGTAGCAGCAGCAGCAATCACGGCAACGGTAGCGGTAGCGGTTATAATAGCAACAGTTACAGCAACAGCTACAACAGCCCCAGCCAAACCGCCTCCACCACTCCTCATAAGAACCTTTACTCCCCCTTCCCCAATGCCAACGCTGCTACCCCCTTTCCCAATGCTCAAACCATTGCCCTCTCCTCCAATGACTACCACTACCTCCACTTCAACAACAACTATAACTACATGAACAGCCATTACAACAACAATTTTCCCGCGTCTAACCGGTATCCCGCCAACTCCTCAAACCCAAGCCCCTTCCCCGCCTTCTGCAATCAGATAAACCAAGTCGAGGGCATTCAAAACGGCTTTCGCGACCAATTCAATGCCACCAATGGACATGGCGGTATCTGGGGGCTACAACAGAAGGGCAAGGGCAAAAAGAGCAAGAGAAATAAGAGGAAGAAGCATGGCAAGGGCAAGGGCAAGAATAAGGATGAAGTGGATGGGGATGAGCTTGACGGCGACAAGATCAATGGAGATGGCGCCGCTGGAAATGATGCCAATGGAGATGACGCAAACGGTGGTGAGGGCAATGGCGGCTCGGCCAATGGTGATGGTACTCGTGACGGTGATACGCCTAACGAATATGAATGGAAATTTTGAGGAAGCGGGGACTTAACCGTTCTATCCTACGTTTTCCTGGCGAACGCAGTGGTCTTCATCTCGGCTCCTCACAATCACCTCATTACTACTATTCTCATCCGACCAGAGCCCCTCCAGGACCGATCGTAATATGCAGCTAAAGCTGCAATTAGCGCTCATCTCATTCTTTTGAGCTGGTGGTGCATCTTCAAAACACAAAAAAAGGATTTGGTTTCCGCTCTTGTTTCTAGTTCTTCTTTCCTCTATCATTTTACATACATTGTTACATCACGGAGAGAGTGGGGTGGAGACCTTCTACATAAGATGATCTAATGGATTTTTTATTTGCTTTTTGCTTCATTGGCGCCTGCTAGCTATTGCTACAGCACGTTATATCTCCCTCCTGCCCACACTTAATGTAGACGTCGCAATGCCTCGATTAATCCCTTTATTTCTTCCAGTTCCACCCCTAACCCCTCAATTGCCTTGCTCTGCACCTCTTCACTAACATCCAGGAACCGCTCGATCAGCTCCCCGTCCACAAACCGCATGGGCTCTTCTTCTTCACGCACTGAGTTCTTGAACGCACGGAACTTGGCAAACTGCATGTCGCCCGGTGCGGCGACGAGAGAACCGAGGTTGGACTGCAGTGTCATGAGGAGATTCTGGTAGTCGGAGGATATGAGGCCAAAGAGGTAAATTGAACCTTCGACCTGCATGGGTTGAAGTGGTTAGCAACTGTGTTTCGCAATAAGAGGCAGGCTACACTTACAGTTCCAACGAAAGCTTTTGGTACAATAACCGCATCCGCGGCAGTCAAAACATCTATCCTGCGTATTCTGTTTACCATCTCGCCGAGCAACATTTCAGAGCTGATATTCAGTCGTCTCTTATCGTCATCGGTGACACCGTTTGGATCGCGGTACAAGACGACTAGGTTACCCTCTGCATCGCTTTCAAGATACATATTCGTGTCTACCTCTGCCACGGCTGTCGCCCATGTAATCTGGTAATGTCGCGCGACTTCCACAAGTTTGTCCGGCAGACCCGTCTCGCCCTTTGTGTATTCAACTATGACGAGTGATTTCATGAGATCTGCTATCGCGATCAAGGAGCCGTTCACTGTAACGTCTATTGGGGCTGTTGAGCATCGGAATGATGCAAGTTTGACGAGATCGGGTGTGCTAGGGGTTCGGTACTCGAAGTCATACATGACGACTGTCTTGATGAGCGCAGCGACAATCTTGCCTTGGCATATAGCTAGGCACCTGCATCCGCCTTTCACAGCAATCTCAGTGACGAGCTTGAGTATGCGCTCGGGTGTGACTTCCAAGACAATAATACGACCTCGTTCAGATGTCGTGTTCTGGTCATCAACATATGCGGTACCGACAACAAAGCGCTCTGCTAGCCCACCAGAGCCGTCCGGTAGTTCGCAGCGCATTACGCATTCGACCAGCTCTTCTTCGTTGAGCGCATACGTGTCGAGTTCTTTGAATTGTATTTCGTCGACAAGCTTGAAGTGGCTCAGCATAATCTCCTCTCCATGCTTCAGTATGCGCTTTATTGTGCCGAGACCAAAAGCTTTCAGACTCGGTGAGTAGGCTATCCGCCGTACTGTCTCATCTACCTTGAGTGTTTGTACGTGGGTAGTTCTTTCGGTGTCTACAAGCGCAATGCGGAGGTCTTGAGATGTGGCGATTGCAACGGAACCAGGGTATGCTTCTGAATCGAACGGGCACACTGTTGTCGCCTTTTCAGCTGTAACGGCAGAGTATACAAGGCGGCCTTCTGACGCGTAGATCAGGGAGGGGTGTTCACATGTTGCAAACACGTTGAAGAGACCATCGCCCCGTGGCAGGGCACGGAAGGTGGCTTCACGTGTCCCAAGCACGATACTCTTCCTTCCGAAAAGCTCGTGGTTTGACGGGTCGAAAGTATATGTGACAACATTTCCATCAGCCAAAGCAACAAAGAGTGATGGTGGTTGATCAGGGAATATTTGTGTGAGGATCAATGAGCGCGGAACAGAGTCGTCGGATATTTGAACAGTTTTTACGGCCTCAAGAGTATTGAGTGAGCATATGGCGAGCTGTGAGTTGTTCCAGAAGCCAACAAAACAAGTGGAGCTGGTTCCAGAGGGCAGGGTAACGCAAGCAACCTGACTCTCGGCGCCAAACGTCTTCTCCTTGACCACCTGTAACCCGTCGGCCATGCCCAGGGAGACTATGGTGACGCCACCCAATGATACAAGTACATGGGTCTCGTTGACCGAGGCGGCAGTGATGGTCTTGCCGTCTGTTGGCACCCATTCCGATGTGATCATGCCGCCGTCCAAATCACAGATTCGAGCTCGGCCGTTGGTGACTTGGACGATGCGACCTTGTGGAATATTTGCTGCAGCCAGTGTTGTCTCATCGAGAGCGAGCGAGACAAACTCATCAACTTCCTCGACTTCACCCTGAGAATCAAACCGGAAGACGCGTGATTCGCCCACAAAGCTCACCAATAGCGTGTCTATGTACTGAGCTGAAGCGGTTGACTTTAAGCTGAATAGCTCAGAAATGTGCTCCATTTCGCCCAACACACCAAGGTCTTCCAGACCAACACCACTTCTAACGCTTCGAAGGCTACCATCCTGATATGCACCACTGCCGGTCACTATTCGTGCTTGGCCTGAGGAGTATTCGTTGGTTTGACCTTCGCCAGATCTGTTGCCCATATCCATTATAGTAAAATCAAGAATGGGAGCAATGTTGGAAAAGGTTTGGACAATCTCCATTGATTTCTCGGCAATTCGGATGACTTGCGAGTCGCCTTGGTGTGAGCCCACGAATACGTAACCTGCGTCTAGGTAAACCAGGGTCGATGCACGAGACGTCTGGCCGATAACATCAAGTTTCCATGACTGCACTCTCCCTTGTGCGTTCAGGACTAGCATGAACATGTAGAGGCGACCATAGTCGTCAGCGAGAACGAAGCGCTGGGCGTCGATGCGCTCCCAAGCCACAAAGATGGTCGCTTCGTCAAGCGGCTCTGTTTGTAATTCTCCACTTTCGTCATCAAAGTATCCAATTGATGTCTCTCCAATGACTATCAGGCCATGCGACGGTTCCTCGAGTGGGATCAAGTGGCTTGAACCAAGTTCCAGTTCGCTCTTGCAGGTTTCTCCCTCTTGCAGGTCGACTTCATCACCGGCATATGTCAATTCTCGTAATCTCAGCTTGACTTGGGCATGTGTGTCTTCGTAAAGTAGAGCCATCTTGGGCTTATCGTCTGTGGATCGTGGGCGCAAGAAAGCGGATGAGCGGACAAACATTTCGGGTAATCGAACCGGCTGAGGATCACCCAGATGGGCAATGTCCGCCTCTTGCTTTCTCTTCTTCCCTCTCTGGACCAATGGTATGACGGTGAGGATACCCTCGTACACTTCGATAGTCATGAATCGGCCAGTGGGATCAATGTGACATCGCTCGCCCGTTTGCGACTCTCTGGCTGCATTGTCGGCGACACTCGCAAACGACTTTTCAGTCTGAAGCTGTTTCTTTTCGGCATTCCAGGACAGCGTAAAGTACATGAAGCGGTCGGTGCCGACAAAGAGATGGTCGGTGGGAGATAGTGCTGGTCGCAGCTTCTGGAGCATGGTGACTTTGCCATAGATGGCTTTGGAATGTTTCAGGACCAGTCCGTCTGCCTCGTGTGTATAGAATTCGAGTCTATTTGACTTTCTATCATGACGTTAGTCTCCATCTGCTGCTCTCTCTGCATATACCACTTACGCGACCACCAGGCAGTCGTCTTCCGGAGCCAGGAAGTTGAGCTTCAGGGCATGCCTGATGCTGCTTGGTCGATGAATGGGGGCTATATAGGCCATGGCGATGTCTAGAATGCTCCGAAGCCCGCGGGTGGCTCAAAGACTTTAAGTTGGGATTGTCACTGTTGACAGGCCTGGGGATGATCGGATGCATTCCGTCATGCAGCTGCACGGGCCGCGGCTCCACGCGACTTCGCGTTGCGGGGCGGAGCGAACTTTTGGCTCTTTTGGAACTTTCTGGCTCCGGCACGCACTTGTGCTTGCAATTCCTCACCATACACACACAATGGCTCGTAAGACCAGCCTCTGCCTATAAACACACCAAGAGGCGCCGGCCTTGCTAACTTGACGGGCGAATTCCAGCAGCCATGGACGTTGAAGACGACGACCCAGTTGTAGCCGAGTACGATGTCTACATCACGCCTGATGTAGCTGAGCAGCAGCTCTATGTCCTCCAGTACCTGAATCGCCCCCCGGACCAGCCCTTCACTAAGGCGACTGAAAGTCAGCCGACCGAGTTGCGCATAAAAAAAGACTCTGGCTTTATCGAGGTCGACGTGCCCATCAACATCCACCGCAACTACAACCGCCTCGCTGGTGTGCGATGGGGCGAAGCCATGCGCAAGACCAAGGGTTTTGGGCAAAAGGCTTTTGGTATCGCCTCTGGTTTTGAGCGCACCATGCCGCGCAGTGCGAACCGGCCTGGAGCTGCCGGCGAAGGAGCACCCGTCGCACCGGTTACCGCCGATGATGACGATAATATCGAAGAATATGTGACTCACTTTGAGGACGCCAACGAGAAGGGGCACGTCCTCAATACACAGACTTTTGGAGGCCAGATTCTGCACGAGGATGGCAAGGGCCCTAGCTACATGCTCGGCACGTTTCGTGACAGTGAGTTATCGCAACCTGAATTGCGCCGTCGAACCTCCGCTAATTTTTGGTAGACGAACTCCACCTTACACGCATTGACGGTCTCGTACAACTCCGAACACAATTTCACCACATCGACGCCTCTGCCCAGCTAGAGGCTGTTCAGCGCCGGCGTGAAAAAGAGTCACAAGAGGGCGCAAAGCTTGCAGAGCCAAAAGCTTTCCTCGCTCAGGTCAAAAAGACTGGTGGCGACACGGCTGCCGAGATGACGCAAGCTTTTATGAAGGCGACGAACCAGGAGCAGTGGCAAAAACTGAATTACTTTGACGAAAAC